ATTCATCCCCTTGCGCTGTTGCAAACAAGAGAAGGAGCCGGAGCCCAGTAGGAACCAATTATTGAGCGGCTGGTCTTGGGCGATCTTTTGTCACATGACTGCCCATCCACAACACCGAAACAGCCATTCCTGATGTCCCGGGAGAGAGTAGCCAAGCTGGTGGCTGCTCCTTTGCAAAAGCGGCTGCAGCGTGCTTGTTGCTCTAGACATATGAATCTTCACTCACCCTTTTGGAACGAGACGTGACGATGCATCGTTCAGCGGTTCACACGCCCCGAGCGGGTATGTAGAAGTACGCGGGCCATATACACCTCCGTGTTGCTTCGTGTACGCCAGTAGCATGCCTCAACACCCTGACCTTAGTACGGCTGCTTGAAATCAAGTCGCGCAGCCATGCTCTGAGCGATGATGTGTCAGCTTTCCAAGGTGATCATACTCATCGTATCACGCCATGCGGTGGCGAGACGCGTGAGGGGTCGAACATGAGGAGTGCCCGAAACCAGAGACAACCATTCGACTTCGAGGTAAGCTTCCCAGCTCATCATTATGACAGGCTTGAACCAGCTTGACGACCGAGCCAGCGTGGCGAGCTTGGCGCCCCCTGCGCACGTCGGGCAACGGACTCGGAGAGCTTTCATTGGGGACATGAGCGTGACCGTTGCTGTCGAAGGCGCCCTTGCGCCAGCACATTCACTCTAGCTCGCTACAACTTTATTCATCAGCGCGGCGCGGCAATTGGCTACCACACATGGCCGATGCAACTTTCCCACCTCCTACACGAACCCGATGTCCCTCGAGCCATTGAGCAGCGTTCCCCCTCTCAATACTCTTTTGCTCCTCGATACGACACTGTGCATTGATTCCTTCATCATGCAGCCCGGCGCACTTCTCCTGTGGATGCTCGCACTGCCTCGGTCGCAATCCGCCCCGCTCAAAGCGACCTTTGCCGCGCATGTCGAAGCGAGCAGGAAAGATCTAGTCGAAGTGAGTCGTGTTTTATTCTCGCATTCCTCGTTCGCCTTCTCCAAAACCCAAGTTCATGTTTTGACCTTCCTGCGCCTTCTTTCACCCTGCTTAGAGCGGGTCAGGTGAGTGCGACAAAAAGTGCAAGCTTCCTCACTCGAGCTCACCATCCCCATTCCCGTTGCAGAACAATTTGAGAGCGCGTCTGAGCATCTGAGCCCCACTTCAGCAGCCAGTCTGACTCCAGGAAGTTCGTTCGATCCTCGGCGGATGTACGAGGAGTGCTGGAGGTCGTCGTGTCGATGGTGGCGGGCAAAAAAGAGGTCAGACAAAGTGTTCTATGGTGTCGCCACCGGTGTTGGCGGATTGACTGTAGTTGCGAGCAGCGTAGCTGTCGGTGCGTGCTCTGTTTGGCGTGCAAAATCCGTTCGACAAAGTCCTGGTGCTCTACCGTATGTAGCTAACTGATATGCTGACAGTGCAATCTCTCCCTCCGATCGGTGGCACCGTTCTCAGGTAAAATGCACGCGGATTACGAGGCGCGCGAGAAAGCGCGAAAGTTGAGAGAACAGGGGCGTCGAGGAGCTGAAATTCATCCGGTCCGTTAGGCGCGCGAACTTCATCGACTTCGTGAGCTACTTGCCAGAGCGTCTTGACGTGCACTTCCATACACGACGTAGCCAGTGTTGACTACTAAACCGACGAAAGCGCTCATGGTGGCAAACTCCAGCGTTGATGTATTTGGCAGATTGCCGCGTGGCAAAATTTCCGTGCACGGGCGCAGCAGCCTAGACAGGAGGCGATGTTGACGACGTCCTCGTACTCGCTCCTGTGTGCTCTCTTCGCTTGCGTGCAGCCAGACATGGCCTCCGTATACGGAATATTTGCGGCGCTTCTGGGGCGACAAAAGGCGATCTGCTTATGTCTGGCAATGCTGAATTCGCAGTGTGACAGGCTTCCTACCTCAGAGCATGGGTGTAATAGCTGGCAGCGTTTGGCCTCCTGGACATGCTCCTGCCCTTTGTTTCCTCGCATGCTTATCGCACGCACTGACTGCTGTTACTACCTTTCCCCCGTCGTGTCACTCCAACCGTGCTTTGCACACTCTCTGACATCTCGGTGCTAGCCTTCCGAACATGGAGGTCGCCAGATGCGGTAGCGTCGTAGGCCTTGCTGTCGGCTAGGTCGGAGCGCTTCCGGCGGACCCGGGAGAAAATGACCTTTCGCATGTATTGATTGAACTGTGCGTGATCAGGAGATGCAGTTGTTGTCATCAAGGTCGATTCTGCTGACGTTGAAATCCATTTGTCCTTGCCTGGACCCGACTTGGACACCGCTGTGCTCCGTAGTGTCACACAAGGGAGTGTTGAAAGAGCCAGATTGCTCGCAAACTTTCCGTGCGCACAAGCTTGACGCCAGTCCATCCACGTTCGAAGCTATATGTATCGGGAAATGATAACGCGAGCGCACGCCTGGTTCTTCACGCCACAGCAAGTGAATGACTACAGCGTATCACTGCACGTACTGCCCTTTGACCTCTGCTTTGTTGACGGCAGGTCATGAGCGGGTCAGCTCATCAGGTGCACGTATCACAAACCCGAGACCTATTCCGACTGGCGTCGCTGGAAGCGAGTTCCCATCTGCTGAAGTGTCAACCCGGCATGGCTGCCTACGGTGTTCATGCGCGTGGTGACATTCAAAAAACACTTATGAGAAGCGCTCCTCCAGTCCTTTGGCGAAGCTCGCCGGGGCGGTAGGATTTGTGGCAGGCGCGGGCATTACGAGTGAATCCGACGTTACGAACGTGTTGCGTGGCTGAAAGACTTGGCCCGTTCACATCTGCTTCTATCCCTTGATTCATCAGTCGGCCTATAATACGAAGGCGTCATCTCGCACAACCATTCGGGAGGGGGTGGTGGTGTGATCCTGTCGGGTGAAAGGTGCAAGGGCAAATGACTTGCGAAGCAGCTTCTTTGTTGTCTTTCTTCGACTTCTCGTAGAATCGAGACTTGGCCTTCCTCATGAAGGCCGTACATGCACAGACTCTACACTCTCAAAAACGCCCTCTGAGGTGCTAGCCTGGACAGAGGTCGCGATCCGGCCACGTGAAGGGTATCCGAGTGAGTGCGGGCAATGTGAGCAGCTAGGTCATGACAAGCACGAGCCTCAAGCCACGTTCTATGTAGCGCCCGGCTGAGCCAGAAGACGGCATCCCCAGTCCAGGGCCAGGCTTTCCGCTTGCCCATGGACCCAGCTGGATGTGGTGACGTTTCAAGGTCACTAGTGGAATTGCCTGGCATCGAATTTGAATGCGCGTCTGATGACATCTGAAATGTCATGACGTGTAGAAATTCGTCGGACCCGCCTTGATTCCTGGCTGCGTTTTCATTGGGATAAGCGCCTACGCGGTTCCATGATGGAGCAGGACAGAGTCTTGAGTCGTGGATCGAGTGAATAATCTTGCGTGCCCAATATTCAACGTTCACAACTTGTGTACCGCGTATTATTATGAATCTCCAATCTTGACTCTGATGCATCTCGGTTCACAACTCAAGAGACGTGGATTTGTGAACGATCGTTCGTTTATGATTTGTGGTGAGAGTTTCAGTTCTGGCTCAAATTAA